TCTTTCGAACAAGTGTCTTTCGAACAAATGTTTTTCGAACAAGTGTCTTTCGAACAAGTGTCTTTCGAACAAGTGTCATAGAGCCATTTTAGATATTGGTCTCATAGTTATATGTTGGTTAATAATAGTTTAGGCATATACAATATTATTAATTGTTATAAATTATATACAGTATTAGAAATAATGTATTGATAAGCAATTCACCACCTGCCTTAATAATACTTGTAATAAATATTAATTAAGCATTCTAGCTAAGAATTAAAATAAAAAAAATAATGTTTTAATTTATGAATTTGCAACTTATTTGTTTTAAAAATAACATAAAATTTTGAAAGAATATTCTAACTTGTGTACATTGTTTAATTTAAATCACAAAATAATTACATAAATTCTGAAATATTCAGCATAGCCGCTTATAAAAATAAATAAATAAATATATTTTACTATATTTTATTAATTCATATAAAAGTTTAGATATTATTGATTTTTAAAATGAACGAAATATACATACAGGGTGTATAATATACTCAGTACTATTTGATAGCTTATATTCTACAAAAAATTTAGCATCGATTAGAAGTATTTTTCTTTTCATTTAGTAATTGAAATTGATTGGCATTAATTCAATATTAATTCATAATAAATTAAATTTGGATTAACGGACGTTTAGCTAATCAGGAGCAATTTTATTAAAAATTATCACATTAAAATCATTCTAGATTTTTAGGACCTATCTTATTTCTCTAAATTGTTGTTTCAAATAAGTGGTACTAATTTTATAAATTTGTCATGATAACTTATTAGTTTATTTGACATAATATTTAAATTTGGTCCACTGTGCTTTTCACAATAATTTTATTATGGAATTAGTCATTTATGCATTATTTCTTTAAATAATCGCTCGCATATGTCAATTGTCAAACTTATTATCTTGATTCAAATAATTTTATTATAAATCAAAGGTATTTTAAAACATTTTGTCATATATTTTAAATTTGGAGTAAATAAACTAATTTATTCTTTCATTATTTCACGCAAATGCCATAACTTTAAATATTGCCGTTTAAATGACCGGGATATTAGTGAAATTATAAAAAGAGTACATGAAATTAAAGTGTAATTTATACTTGTTTAAAAACATCCGAGTTTATTAAAATCTGATTACAAATGCCTAATCTACATGTGTTTATAGTAGGATAATGTTGCAATGCATTCCAATGTAAAAACACAATAGTACTAAATATAATATACACAGTGTATACTGTACACACTGTAGATAAATACTATTTATTCATTATCTTTATTCAAATAAAATTTATAATAAACAAGAATTATATTTAGTTTATAGATTATAATTTTATATACAGATAGAACATACAAAAATTATCCAAGTGTAATATTAAATAATATTTATAATAAATGCAAACTTAAATATATATGTATTTTTGCTAATTATTTGTGCTCTAGTTTAGAATGAATAAATTAAATTAGCATTATATATTTTACAAACCAATTTATATTTTACATAAATTGTCATTTGAAACAATGGATTTAATTAAATGTTCGCAAAAGTTACCAAAATCTGTTCAAATTAATCCTCAAACAGAAAGTGAATTGTTTGGCATTGGATTAAGTCTTAAGCCCAGAATTAGCGACCACTCAACCTATCGTCCAGTATTGTCTCAGCCGGTGGTCAGCTTTATAATTCCCACTGCATATGTTGTCATTAATATAGCATTACTATTAATACCCGACGAATACAATGCGATTCATATAATACTCGGCGATTGGAGTCCATTAGTGGGCATTGGATTACACTTTAAAATTGTTGCGATTCTCTGGACAGCCCTACATGTGGTCATCCATTTAATATATTTATATAATTATATGACTTGTGTTGAGCCAACATTTCTACGGGTGTTTGATATGATGTCCGGTTTAATAACACCCACACGTGTCGGTCTAACTGATCCCAAAAGTGTCCGACAATTACTGGAGAAATCTAAAGTGTTGTTTAAAATCAATAGATTTATTGTCACAAAGACTACACCATTTATGGGCTTAATATGTCTCATACCATACTTCGTATACCTACCCCTCGTGCCGGCCCTCGTCTACGGCATACCCAACACTATATTTAATTGTCTTATCGGGTATTATAACTTTAGAATATCAGTTTGGCTATTAAATTATTTTCATATACTTTGCTATTATTTAAAACTTAAATTTCGTGCATTAAATGCAATGCTATTGAAAACAAATCAATCAAAAACTGAAACAATAAAAACTTTGTATAAATTAAATAAATTGTTTATTGAAATCAATGAATATAACAGTAGTTTTTGGTCAAAGTATTTGCTATCCGTTTGGCTAATAATGGGATCAGTTATAGCGTTGAGTTTATTTATCGTCACTTTTATAACCTTCCCTTTGATTCAGCATTTGGTCCTAATTTATATTGTAGTAATGATTGTCCTCCTCTTCATAACCATTATTTTGACCGCCTCTTCAATACAATACGAGTCAAACAAATTATATAAATTGCTAAACGTTTTAATCGTACAACGATTGTAAAAAATTTGGTTAAAAAATATATAAATAGTTATTCATGGCTGGCCACACTTTATTTGTTAATTTATTAATAGAATTTGTAATTACTAATTAGTAAATCACTTAATTATTCATTTTCAACGCGATCATAATCCAAATATTCAATTAAAGGTCAGTATCCTAATTTAGCACAGCCAGAATATAAGTAATAGTATGCATATGATTACCATATTGTATTATTGATTTAATTACACTGTATTAATGATTGTATTGCATTACTATTCATTAGAATATATCAAAACTATTATAACATAAACACATGCAAAATAACTATTAATATATTGTGAAACTGACAAGATTATACTTTACCATGAACACCATTCTTATTATCTCAAATAAAAGTTTATACGTACAATAACCAATGCGTTTTTTGTGACTAATATAAATCTCCATTCGCAGTGCAAACGCACATGGAAAAGCATTATACAACTTTTCACTTACCTTGATAGGATAGTGTTCTATGATTCACTCTAAAACATATCGTGTAAATGCATTCAAATAAAAAATAGCTTTTTATTTTCATGCAAATATATTTTTCAAATAAATATAAATAACATTACATTGTATATTAGAAATAAAATCATTATAATACCATATATTGAATAAAAAGTACCAAAAAGTTAGTGCAATTGAACAACAAAATAATAATGGTAAATATTTTGAATAGTATTTTATTTACAAGATAATGAGTGTAAGTATTTTAAAATTACATTGTTTTGTTTGTTATTGCTTATGTACAAGTTGGTTAGTTTGAAGCTACTTATAATTTTAAAATCTATTATAAATAATTAGTTATTAAAAAGAATATAATTTCAATGGATCTAATTAATTGTTGGCAGAGATTACCACAATCCCTTCAAATTAATCCTCAAAAGGAGAGTGAATTGTTTGGCATTGGATTAAGTCTTAAACCAAAAATTCATTCTTCATTGAGACGTTCACTAGTGTCTAAACCGGTAATCAGTTTCATATTTCCCATCATATATCTGGTCAAAAACATTTCATTACTATTAATACCCGACGAATACAATGCCATACATATAATACTCGGCGATTGGAGCCCATTAGTGGGCATTGGGTTACACTTTAAAGTTGTGGCCGCCCTCTGGTCAGCCCTACACGTGTCCATACATTTGACTTATTTTTATAACTATATGACTGGTGTTGAGCCAACATTTTTGCGAGTGTTTGATATGATGTCCGGTTTAATCTCACCTAAAGAGGTCGGTTTAACGGATCCCAAAAGTGTACTACAATTACTACATAGATCTAAAATATGGTTCAAAGTTAACAATTTTATTGTTAAAAAAACAACACCATGTTTAGGCCTCATATGTGTCATACCATACCTCGTATACCTACCCCTCGTGCCGGCCCTCGTCTACGGCATACCCAATACTATAGTCGTAGGGTTTATTGCTTATTATAACTACGGTATAGCCGTCTGGCAATTAAATTACTTTTATATTCTGTGCTATTATTTGAAGCTTAAAATCCGTGCATTAAGTGCAATGCTAATCAATTCAAAACAATCCAAAGTGCGAACACTCTATGAATTAAACGCTTTATACAATGAGATCAATGAATACAACATTAGTTTTATGTCAAAGTATTTACTGTGCGTTTGGCTATTCATGGGATCAGTTGTAACATTAGGCATATATATCCTGATATTTGCTGCCTATCCTTTGGTCCTGCATTTGGTGATGACATACGTCGTGGTAGTGATTGTCCTCCTCTTCCTCACCATTATCTTCACCGCCTCTTCGGTCACATCCGAAGTCAACAAATCATATAATTTACTGAATTCACTGCAAAGTGTAAATAATCTTAACCACAAAATAATTCATTATAAGCTTTAAAATTTAAAGTTTAAATGTTGTATGAATTTAAACAATGTATAAAGTAATGTGCTATGAAACAAATATAATAAATTTAAGAATGTAATTTCTTATTTATATATTATTTTAAATTATTAACAAATAATTGATTTTAAATTGTAAAAGCTCTAGCTAAGCTTTTAAAATACTTAACATACAAACAAATAGTCACCATATGTAATTTAAATACTATAATTGTTTTTAAATTAAACTTAATTATGCATTAAATCTTTTAGCTATATAAGCAATCCCAAAATTTAAATACCATGCTAAATTTTTAATTAATAAATCCAGAGTCGGCTCCGGCTCCAAAATTTCAATCACTACTAGTTATCTAGATGGGGTAGGCTTTATGGTTTTACTATGAAACATGTCGTGTTTATCCTAATTTATAAATGCATTCAAATAGAAAATAAATATTTAATTTTTTGTATTTTTATGCAAATAAAATTTCAAATATATGTGAATAACATATATTAGAAATAAAATCATTATAATATCATATACTGATTCGTGAGTAAAACGTACCTAAATGTTAATGCAATAAAAAATTAAAAAATAATTACTATAAAATAATGATGGTAAATATTTTCACTAGTATTGTATTTACAATATAAATGAGCTGATATTTGAAAATTAAAATAATTTATGCTGAATTTTTGCTTATGTACAAGTTAAAGTGCAAAAAAAAATATTGTAAAATATTATTTCAATGGATTTAATCAATTGTTCACAAAAATTGCCAAAACATTTTCAAATTAATTCTCAAAATGAGAGTCAATTGTTTAATATTGGATTAAGTCTTAAGCCCAGAATTAGTAGTTCATCGAGACGTCCACTACTGTCTAAACCGGTGGTCAGTTTCATATTTCCGATCATATACTTGGTCTCAAACATTGCATTACTATTAATACCCGACGAATACAATGCCATTCATATAATACTCGGCGATTGGAGTTCATTAGTGGGCATTGGAATGCATTATAAAGTTGTGGCCGCCCTCTGGTCACCCCTACACGTGTCCATACATTTAACGTACTTTTATAACTATGTGACTGGTGTTGAGCCAACATTTCTACGGGTGTTTGATATGATGTCCGGTTTGATTGCACCTAAAGAGATAGGTTTAACGAATCCCAAAAGTGTACTACAATTACTACATAGATCTAAAATATGGTTCAAAGTTAACTATTTTATTGTTACCAAAACTCTACCATTTATGGGCTTAATATGTGTCATACCATACCTCGTATACCAGACCCCTCGTGCCGGCCCTCGTCTATGGCATACCCAACACTATACTCGTCGGATTTATTGCTCATTATAACTACGGTATAGCCGTCTGGCACTTGAATTACTTTTATATTTTATGCTATTATTTAAAGCTTAAAATCCGTGCATTTAATGGAAAGTTAATCAATACAAATCAATCTAACGTAAGAAAAATGGTAATCTTTTATAAACTAAACGCTTTATATAATGAGATCAATAAATACAACATTAGTTTTATGTCAAAGTATTTACTGTGCGTTTGGCTATTCATGGGATCAGTTGTAACATTAGGCATATCAATCTTGGTATTTGCCACCTTTCCTTTGGTCCTACATTTGGTGATGACATACATCGTGGTAGTGATTGTCCTCCTCTTCCTAACCATTATCTTCACCGCCTCTTCAGTACAATACGAGTTGAATAAATCATACAAATTGCTTAATAAACTAGAAGTAGGGAATTGATCAGGGGCTTTAATAGTTTGATTTAAAAACCAGATTAAGAAAATGTTAATTTATTGAACTATATATTTATATTTTCATTTGATTATGAATTAATTAAAAATTAATTAATAGCTAGTTGTCAGTCATCAGTCATGAGACACAAAATAAGGACATATTTTAGGTTTTATATCAAATATTTCGCTCAGAAATGGTGTAGAGTTTTGCGGATTTCCACTCGATTTTACTTTACGCTGTCTTTCAGTCAATACGTGTATAGTGTCGATGAATTTCATGAGTTGTCTGTATTTATGTAAAATTTTGTCCAATTCTGGGCCGTATTTTAATAGTAAGTATCGTTTCAATAAATACATGTAAACGTATTGTTGAAATCTAGATAAAATTTAATTAAATTAAATGTACCGTAAGTTTTGTTGGTCTTAAATGTTTGATTGTAAAATAAATATAAATTTTAAATGTAATTAATCAAGTTAATTTATTGAACACACGTACTTTACTGTGTCCATGTGCTCAAGGTTCGGCCTTTTGGCGTTATATAATACAATGCCGGTTAACTATTGATTTAATTTAACGTGATAATTTTGTTTAATTAATTGAATATGTTAATTAAGCATTTTAAAATTAATATAACTTACTAAATCAATAATGAACCTGTCATTCTCCCACTCCCAGCAAATATTCTTGGTATAAATTAAATGGGCTTCATATAAACTTGGTGAGTATTGTTTGAATATATCCAACGATAATTTCATTGAACTGTTTTCATCCTGATACAAAATGGAAAACATAAAAATCACCAGTCACAATTTTAAATCATTATTATTAATAAGTTATTAACAGACATTAGTTACAAATAAAGCTCACAATAAATATATTCCAATAATGCTCATGTTGGTCAAAATAAAGGACCGAGCGCATATTGATAATCTCCACAGCGCCGTACTTGACTAAAGCCAACTGGTCATTCTGGCAAAGGTAATTAAAATAGGGCAGTCGTCGACAAAACGAGGTCACATTTCCGATCTCACGCTCCAATGTATAGCGGTTTATAAGTTTAAGATCGCCAACACAATTAAATTGACCATGCATCGGGTTTAGCGGGATCATTAGCTGATTGCTGGCATCAATTAGCTCAGTAAACACCCGGTGCTCATGGTCGGAAAAATTGTCCCTGCTCGACGGCGGCCGTATTATTGATATCACTTGCATGGCGTAGGAATACTGATCATGCGCTGAATTATTGGCATCAAATGTGTAGTAGAAATTATTATGATGGTTGTTATTTTGGTCCCGCATAACGGGTACTACTTCTAGGGATAGATTCCTGGAGTTTGTGGCAATAGTCTCGCAGCTGTCAATCCTAGTATTGGTTTCGGTTGTGTTGTTTGTATTAGAAAAACGTGATCTGTATTTCTATTTTAATAATTTTTAATTATTAATTGCTGTTATAACTAGTTTATCTACTAGTAGTGATTTACCTTGTGCATACCAATGGCCATACATTTACCAAGTCTACATTTTGAGCAAAACTTCCTAGTTATAGATGTTATGCGACACATGTCACCAAAATTACACGTGAATTTCTGTATTATTTAAAACATTATGATCTATTCATATAAACAGATTATTAATAAATAATAACAATTGCTTACATCGTTTGTATCCCTGTATCTCATGAAAAATATACGACACGATTCACACGTAAATGAGCCAAAGTTTTTGCCTAATATTAATCATGTGAACATTTTTAAAATGATTATTGTAAATATTAATTATTAGTTAACACAAACTCATACCAATAGCCCGATCGCCACACACTTCACAAAACATTTTATTAAATTATTATTAAAACAGTTATGAATTAATTAGTAAATATTTACAAATTAAATAAACATAACATTTAACAAGTTAAAACACTGGGTTGAACAGTTTAGTCACGTAAAACATAATAATATATTTTATGTAAACATATTGTCTAAATTTTAGACTCTAAAACTTGTAACACAATTAAAAACAAGATTATTTTCACCAAAAATATCAAAACAATAAAAACTAAATGTAAGTTACTAGTTAAAGTTAGATAAATGATTTGCGTTAATAACATAAGATATAAGTAACTGCCATAAGCACATTTAATTATCAGAATTTCTATAATGATAATTATTGATTAGATTATAGAGTACGTAATTCCAGAAATTGCTCTTAAATGTGACCATGATTAATGTTTTAGAACTTGTTATCGTAACAGTGTTTACTGTATTCATAAGCATTTAAAGAAATTAACCAAGGGCTCTTGTCCTAAATTCATTTCTATTTTATATTTATAAAAACTTTAACTTATAATAACCAAGTTAATTGTTTTAGATTGAGTTTTTAATACCGAAGGACATAATATGATTTACCTTGATATTATCATGTATGACAATAAATAAATTTTAATCACAGTTTTAGCAACATTTCAAAAGTCATTTTTAAATAACCTTTTAAGTAGATTTATGACTGGCTTTTATCACCTAAAAATTAATGCTTTTTACAATTAATAAAGTAAAATATAAATAAAAACAATTAAGTAAAAATAACAACAAATTAAAAAAGTTGTTCCGACACCGGGAATCGAACCCGGGCCTGCTGGGTGAGAGCCAGCTATCCTAACCACTAGACCATGCCGGATCAGATAAAAGTTGCTATGTTTAAATAAACATTTCTTACAAAATGGATAAAAATAGAATTTTTATGTTGAAATACATTCGAGTTTTTAGTGTAGGTTTGTTTGAATTAATTCGAGTTGAGAAATACTTATGATGTGACAATTTGCGTGACATTTACACTTTATAAATACCTCTACAAATACAATGTAGAGAAAGTGCAACCCTCTGCATAGGAAACAGGCAGATAAATGGTAAAAGAGTTTCCTATGGAGATGTATTTTTCCAAGAGGGATTACTTACCAAGAGGTTGCATAGTACTAATCAAATAGCAAAATACTGGATTTTTACTTGGAGTGGTGTTTATCCGGCACACAATCTCTTCCCATTTATAATACGGGTCATTCGCATTATAGAATGTGTTTTAATGATAAATTAATGACCATAATACAGTATTTTATCTGCAAGTTGTTTATATTATCAAGTTTAGGTAAATAATGTACCAATGTGAAAAACAAGTGAACTATTAATGAATTTAATATCACTTAATGTTGTTATGTTTATTGTACCTTAATGAGAAAGATATATTTATTTTGTCATGGCTAATTTAGTATTTTGTAAATCAGCAATAGGCGTTCGGGCAAATATTCGAGTAAATATGTCTTATAATTTATGTACGATATTATATTCAGTAATACTAATCAGATATCAGTAACACTAGCATTACAAAACATACGTCTAATTAAAATATGTCCTAGCTCAATTCAGGGATAAATATTACAAAAATAATATTCGTAGTACAGAATTACATTTTTAGAATATGGATTTATAAAATAAAGTATATTATTAGATAATATACTGTACATTAATATACATGTATTATTATCAATCAAAAGTCTTTAAACACATATTTAGTATTATATTTTTAAACAAAAAATAATTTTATTAAATTACTATTGTTATTAGAAATTTGTTAAAATACAAATTAAGTTTTAAAACTAAATATGAAATTGAGTTTTAATTATGATGGTTGTGAGATGGTAAAGCAGAGGGAGATTATCAATTATGGCCTTGATACATTAAATTCAACAAATACCACAATTATTAGATACTTGACAGGTATGAGACCCCCGTATATTGTGGCCCGTTTTAGTTTACCAGTACTTAACCAAATATCTGACGATTATGTTTGCGGGCCATTAATCAAGATAATCAAGGAGTTGTCAATTAAATACAAATACAGGTAAACTTATTATATAGAATATTATATGATAAAAATGAATATGCTCATTATCAAATAAATTAAAAACTATTTTACATACATAAGTATTAAAATAATTGTTTATTAATAATAAAAATAAATCTTTATGATATATGACAATTATTATATAATCATTGTTTACCCACACATAGCGTTCAACAGATTAAGTATGATATAAACAGTTTGGATCAAATAATGAATGATCTAGATCAGTATGACGGCGTACCACCGCTTAATGTAGTTTTATTGCCCACAACTCGATCAAACGCCGAGTTTATAATGGATCAAATTAAAAGCAGCTTGTTGAATGGCGCTTTTAATAAAAACCAATACCAGTTAACTCGTGCGCTGGGCTTTATATCTGAGGGCAACATATTATACGTGAAACGGGCCGGACGTCTGTCTCCCTATCTGTTCGCTCAAAGCTTTGACACTTGGATTTGGATGTCATTATTACTCACTTTGTTTGTCTTATCGGCCATTATATCGCTATCTACGGGACGGGTATCGTCTGTCCGGAAATGCATGGGACGAGTGGCCAACACTTGTCAACAGTTAATACACAATGCTTTTGGTCACAAACGCCTGTCGCACAGTTGCCGAGCTATAAAACCCAGTAAATTGTCGCGTATAGTCAGCGCATTCATACACACCCTATGGCTGTTGTCAATGACAGTAATGCTGACGGCATTTGCGGGCGTTTTGTTGGCATTTCTGGTCAAACCGTTGCCCGACGTTGTCATCAATTCGTGGGACGATCTCTACAACAGACCGGATGTCAAACTACTGGGCATTGAAGTAATGTTTGCCGGAAATTATATCAAGAAATACAAAGGAAAGGAAGCGATGGCAACCAATTTGGCCAACAGATACCTACCACTCGATGATTACTTGTATAATGAGGTAAATGATGTCGTAATGATAATGATGGTTAATAAGACGGTAAATTAACAAAACAATTTTAGTTAATGTAATAATAATAATTATTAATTAATTATTGAATGATTACTTAATTAATAGGTAATAATATCGGATCTGTTAGCAAAACGCTTAGATAAAAATGTCACACAAATTTTGAAACACATGGAGGCGGGCGAGTACGCGATGGCAGGGGATGTGAATGTATTGGAAGATTCAATGATAGTTTGGGGTCAAGATTATCTAGATCATTTCCACATAAGTGACCATGGTGGTATTATTTCACCTTATTTTCTTCCGTTTCACGCAACCAATGATTGTCCCGATATTGGTCTACATCTCGACGATATGTAAATGCTTTAAACATTAATTAATTGTTTTAAAAATTATATAATTTATTATTATTAATATACAGTATAACCCGTTTCACGGAGTCGGGTATTTATGATTACTGGAAATCGTATCGCTTGTCGGACAGAAGCGGTAAATTACGGCATCGACTGTACAGTAAGACTGAGAGTAAGGCTGGGGTCGCTTTGGATGTCAAACAAATGAGAGGTGTATTCAATGTATTTATTGTTTGTATAAGTTTTACAATCAGCGTATTATTTATTGAATTAGTTCAAAGATTTTTTTTCTGTGTTTATTAAAAGCTTAAGATAACACCATAATACTTTTGATATTGCTTTAAAATTATTTATATAATTTAAATATAGATTAACATTTAAGTTTTAATTATATGTACTCTTAAAGCATAAGATTACATTTAAATTATTTGTTATGAAAGCTTTATGTGTCAATAACATCAACCATTGTCAAAAAGTCAAATTCTATACACTCTCAGCCTCAAACAACCCACAATCACCCCTAAAAGTTCCATTTCTAGTGCCCAGAATCACTAACAGCACCCTTGATATAATTTGCACCTACATGTCTAATTATAAATACATACATGTGTGTGACTATTAACACTCATAGGTAGATGATTACATCAATGCAAAAATGCAAAAAAAGTTTGACAAACGGGAATCGAACTCGGGGCATTTGAGATACTGGGCGAACGCTCTACCTACTGAGCTATGCAGGCTCTATAGATTACTTTACACTTAATAAGCTAGTAATGAATACTTAATGATTCACATCGATTCAGTGATTTCTAATCATGACATATACTGTCATACGTTTCCCCACTTAACTGATGAGTTGTATCCTATCGTTAGCTGTGATATAAAGTTTGTAGAAAAGGCAACTTTACTATCACTCACTATCTGTTCCTATCATACATATGCAGAGCATTACTGACGTTTCAACAACTCACGTCTTTTGCATAGTGTGTAAAAGAGAGACCCTTTTATATATAGTGCCGAAAAACTTTCAGTGCCGATTGGGGAGCTATCGAGGATGAGTCTCCCTCTACAGTGTATTTAACGTTACAAAAAATACATTTGTCTCAATATTAATAGTAATAAAGG